GACGCTAAATTTCGTCGAGCTGCAGGAATTTTGGGTAAAAGTACCCGTTTAAGGTGTCGTGCGCGCGGCGTGCCAGAAGTCAAATTTTCTTGGCACTTTTCTGGTTCCACCGTTGTGATCCAGAATAATGCGCAGTACACCATTATTTCTGATTCGAAGAACTACCCCGATTATGAAGTTTGTCCACCTCTTTTGTTACTGTCTTTACAACTTTTGTTTGAGTGTAGTTTTTTCTAAACCTGTGCTAGATTTTGGTCTAGGGACAATATTTTGTTTCAGAGCACCTTAATTATTAGCAAAGTAGATCGGTCTCATTACGACAGGTCCATTATGTGTGTCGCAAAAAACAATATGGGTGAAGACACTCTGGATATCAAAATTGGCCCTCCATCAGCTCCGGAAACACCGACTAACCTTTCATCTATAAATTCAACAAAAACGTCTGTGACAGTGAAATGGAACCCTGGTTTTGACGGAGGTTCGAGGCAGCAATTTCAGTTGCGGTATCGATCAGTTAAGGGTGGGAATTATCGTTCGTTGAACACTTCTGAAAAGGTGAGGAACCTATTTGATATTTTTATTATTACAGACAATTTTGCTGGTGTCCTGTTGGGCCTAACATCCTCTGCTACGCTTACGGTTGTCTTTTAGCTATTCACGGTCGAAGACCTATCTCCTGCTGAACAGTATGAGGTTGCAGTTCGTTCTTGGAATCTTGATGGCCACTCGTCTGCTTTTTCAAAGCCTGTCACAGTTTTCACGCTCAATACAAAGGGCGAGGATATGCAGGTAGTTATGCGGAAGGTGTGTTTTTGGTTTTATGACAGTTTTGTGGTAGAGAAGAACACACGGTGGGACCGAAAGGTATTGCCAGTGCGACTTTAAAATGTTTCTTTTTCAAGGCTACCTCATTTTCAACATTACTGGTTACTTTGCTGGGGCTCGGCGTCCTCTTACTTTTCTTTGTGAACTGTCTTTTGTTCTGCTATGTGCATAAGCGGCAGAAGCGTAAGAAGATACAGGGTAAGTGGTATTATGTAGTTCCTTGAAGAGCGATTTTTTAATACTTTAAATTCCAGAGTATGTTTTTTTCCTTTAAATTATTTGTTGATAATGATTTAGCATCTTCTTATTAATTTTATTTTCTGTAGGGCAATATATTGCATCAATTTCAAAACGTTTTTTAGAAAAGACAGAAATGGTGAGGAAGTTGCCAGATGGCAAAGGGGAAGCAAAGGCAGTTCACATGTATGGTGCATTGGTTAATTCGGAAATTGCTTGTCGACCCGAGTCAGCTAATACAAATAGAAGTGAATTGGTTTATGAACGGGCTTCAGAAGATGCGCAAAGTCTGCGTACGATAATAGTAAGTTCACGTCTTTATAGTGTTCATCTAGTCCTTTAGTAAAATAGATGTCGAATGCTAACAGGTTTTGCTTGACTTTATAGGAGGTGAATCCTAATGGGTGTGTTGAAGAAGTCGGCCAAGATAGCTGTTACGAACGTGGGTATGTGGGGGAATGTGGTTTCGATCGTAAGTTTTATTATTTTTGGCGCTATCGTCATTGTTGATAAGTGATTGAGCGGTATTTTCACTGCCTTTAGATAAATAATTATTGTAGTGTTTCAGCTAATTTATATGGTGACGTGGTTCGTCCTAGTAGTTTACGAAGACCAATTCCAAACTACACAAATATCTCCTATTCAGTAATACTTAAGTTTTAACGTTGGTTATGGGTTTGATTTTTCTTCTTCAGAGCATTTTGACTTTCTATCTTTTGTTGCCGTTCATAATTTCTTTTCTAAGCAACTTCAAGATGTTGTTGTAGCCGTTCGTCGTAGAGCAGCAGATTTAAAGGAAACATGTGGTCAGCTTTGTAATTATGCAGTATTTTTTATCTATTGTTGCAGGAACCATTCGCGGAAGAGGTGTCAATCGGCGCCTCTTCAAGTTACTCACCGAGCCTTACTTGTGGGCGGTCAGTGGACACTCTGCTTCTCAGATCACCCAGGAGGCAACGTTTTTCCCGTAATCCTGAATTGAGGCCGCCGAATTTACAGGCTGTTAACAATAATGGTGCTTTAATGAGCACTTTCGTTAGGGCACAACCGGGGTCATTGCTACCGACATCTTATGCAAACATTGATGGCGACCTGGTCTGACGTGATACTTTACAGTTTTCCCTTCTTCACTTTGTTCAAGAAGTTTGAATCGGGTTTTTTTTTTTTTTTTTTTTT